CAGAGCTGAGCACTGAGCTGCTCACTGCACTTGTGGGCCCCACATGAACACCCCCCCTGTCAGGGGCTGGTCACAGCTCTGCTGTGTCCCTGCCCCATCTCCAGCCCCACTCCTGCCCCAGCAGGACCAGGCTTGGAGCAGCCTCAGGCATTCCCATTGTCCTGAGCCCCCCCTGGAGCATCCAGGGCTGGGTTGGAGGGTCCCACTGTTGGTTGTCAGTGCCCTGGTCACACCTGGGTGACAGTGCCATCCCTGGGGCTGGGACAGTGCCCTGGCTCTGAGTGGGGCATTTCTGTGTCTGCAGCACCTGCTGGGAGGGACCTCTGGGATTGGGATTGTTCACCTGGAGAAGAGAAGGCTCCAAGGAGACCTGAGAGCCCCTTGCAGGGCCTAAAGGGGCTCCAGGAGAGCTGGAGATGGATTTTGGACAAGGGTCTGGAGGGACAGGACAGGGGGGAATGGCTTCCCACTGCCAGAGGGCAGGGTTAGATGGGATGTTGAGAAGGAATTCTTCCCTGTGAGGGTGGTGAGGCCCTAGCACAGGTTGCCCAGAGAAGCTGTGGCTGCCCCTGGATCCCTGGAAGTGTCCAAGGCCAGCTTGGACCGAGCTTGGAACAACCTGGGCTAGTGGAAGGTGTTGGAACGAGATGATCCTTAAGTTCCTTTTTCCAGCCCAAACCATTCCATGACCAGTGTGATCATGGAATAGTAAAGCTGCAAACAAATCCTCCAGAAACTTCCTAATTCCCCTTGTTGCCCCAAGGGGTTTCCCTCCTTCCTCTCCTTCCTGAGCAGTGTTTGTCCCACCTGCCCTTCAGAGCCCACCCAGCTCTCCCAGCCCAGGGCACTCCTGGCTCTTGGAAAGATTTTCCCTTCCATAAACCTGACGTGTTATTCCTGCTAAAACATGATCAGCACAGAGTGACAGTCAAAAGGAAAACTTAATCCTCCATCTTTTGGGAAATGAGCTGGTTTTGGGATAAGGGAATATCACTGTGGAGGTGCAGTGTTTTATTTTGAAGTGTTTTCCTTCTCTTGCTGGCAGTGGGATGAGCCATGCTCCTTTTCCAGGAATCCTTGTGCACTTCTTTGCCTGTTCTCACAGCACAGAGCAAATGAAAAGCTCTCAGGAAAGGTGGGGCAGGTGATTAATGCCTCAGGATACACAATCAGGGCAGGAATGGGATCATCATAGACTCCTGGAATGGTTGGGGTTGGAAGGGACCTTAAAGCCCATCCAGTCCC